AACCTGACCGGCAGCGGCTGAATCAGGGACACCTGGGGCAGAGCCAGACTATCGAAAGGGGGGGCTATGAAGGGTTCGGGGTGGCATCCCCCCCACCCCACCCCAGACGCCTCATAGCCCCCCCTTCCGATAGTCCGGCAAATCGGATAATCCGGCACCCCCTGGGTCCTAAAGGTGCCAGATTATCGTGAGTTTACTGTATGTTGTTTTTAGTAAGGCAGGTAAATGTTTCCATTAGCTTTAAAGAACATAATGATAACGTAATGCATACAAGGACTCAGAACACATCAAAGAACTACTGTATCATCCTAAAATAAATTGGGTCTCCACTTACATCTCTTGGACATAGTTTAGAATGGAAAATCTTTTTTATGCAGGAGATAAGATGACAATGAAGTTCCCTGGTCAATCCAACAAAATTTCTACAGGCAAGGATAACGACCTCCTGAGGATGGGCCTGCAACCACTTGAAAATTTCCAACAGAACATCCTACAAAAGTAAAATCACATCAATTTAGAAAAGCCTGTGCGTGGGTAAGGGAGAATTAATTAAATAATAAACTCATAATTTATGATACGCCAGCCCCCGGTGCAGATCAGCATAGCTTTATCATGCAAGACGGTATGGGACAGTTTGCTGAAAGTTTCAGAGTGGCTGGAGAGCCATCCCTGGGATTTTGTTTCAGTTGAGCTATGCTGATTTATACCACCAGTGGCTTTCCATCTTATAATATACCAGAGTATATAACAGGGGTGGTCAATAATTTTTTTTGGGGGGGGGCGCCACTCCAAGATTTTGGCAAGTGGTCAAGGGCCACATTTCTACCAAGGAGGTTTGGGATCTGGGACAGAGGTTGGGTGCAGAAGGGAGCTTGGGGTAAGAAACTGGGATGTATGAGGGGGTGTGGAACCTGAGAGGGAGTTTGAGAGAAGGAGATGGTTGTGATCTGGGGCACAGGCTTGGGGGTGAAGAGTTCAAAAGGGGGTTTTGTTGCAGGAGGGGCTCTAGGAGGGGGTGCAGGGTCTGGGAAGGAGTAGTGACCCGGATGAAGGGGGTGCAGAGAGTTTGGGTGATGACTTGGAGAATGGGACTGGGGTGCAGGATCAGGGAGGGGGTATAGGTGCAGGAGAGGATTCTGGCCTGGGGGAAGGGTATAAGATCTGGGAGGCAGTTGTGACCTGGGGGAAAAGGGTATAGAGAGTTTGGGTGGTGGCTTGGGACAGATAGTTGGGGGAGGGGGAAGATGGGGGTGCCTGAGGCAGGCTCTGACTGGGAGGCACTTAACTAGGCAGCTCCCAGTCAGCAGCCCTGCAGGAACCTGAAGGCTACAGTCACAAAAGCTGTTCCACGTGGTCTGCTCTGGGTAGGGTGAAGGGGGGGGGAGGAACACACTGCTTTAAGTTGCTAGCTGTTCCCTGTAGCTCTCTGCTCTGAGGAAATTGTTTCAGCTGCTATTGGTCAGAAACTGGCCAATGGGAGATGAGAGATTTTGCTGCGGGGCAGGATTAAAGCACCCCACCCCCTCTCCCCACTCCCAGCTCAGTTATTTACACAAGTACATGGTCCTACAGCCTGCGTAGGGGTAGTGCAAGCAGGCTGGCTGAGAAACGTTTTAAACTGTGAAAGCATTTATCTCCACAGGCTGGTTGGGCTGCCCCTCTGCAAGCCTCTTGCCACCCCTGGTATGTAAGGGGTATAGTGGCTTTGCATTTTCAGTGTCTTTCCTCTTCAGAGGATCTCAAAGTTGAAAAGTAAAATCCTCATTTTTCTGGACTAGTTCAAGATCCAAGAGTGAGTCAGGGCTAAAATCCAGGTCCCCTGACTCCCATGGTCTTGCTATAACAAGACAGGCCTCTATTATACTGTTAGTTGCACACACATCTCATTGAAGTCATATGCACCTAACACCATAGCCCAGCTCTAGTGGTGCTACTATAGCAATAGAGCAATCAACATGTGACATTTAAGACTCAAAACACTGAATCACTAGCTTTTCATTACATACATTTGCCTTGAAAACTATTGTACCTGTATTACACTTTAATTCAGGTACAATCTTATCTTTCGGTCACTTATTTCTCAAAGAGATCATTTGTGCTCACTTCACGGAGTGGTGGGCTGGGTCAAGATAGATATTGGGACCATCACAAAACACAACAATCATTTGTTTGCAAAAAACAATGGGAGATAATTCCAACTCACAGGTTGCATGGAGGTTAGGCCTGATTGATCACTGTAGAAATTAATTTCAGTTTCAACAATCAACCCTGCAGTACATTTCTTATTTTGAAGTTCCCATGTTACTGAAGAAAGAATAACCGGCTTAGAAAATCTTGGGGTCAATGTTCCTCAACAAAAGTAGTTCTTATTCAGATGTTGCTAATAGTAAGCAGCACCTTCTTCTCCTTCCCCCCTCCCATTTTCCTCCCCCCCAGTTTGAATGCTCCAGATTTAAGAACAGTACCTCTACTACAGCCGTTGTGTACACCATATGCGCAAAGTACAAATTCTCAGAAGAGTCATTAGTCTTGTGAGCAATTCTAAAATCCAAATATCTAATCCCAGCATCCAGTTGTTCTAACACATTTAGTACCTGAATGGTTAAAGACAACAAAAGAGTCCTAAATTTCTACCAGTAACATGTACTCCTTTATTTTAGGAAAGAAATGAAGATTATAAAATTAGCCGATCTTATTTGTCATATTTTTAGGATTACAACATCAATTACATCTATCACCTTGAAAATGATGCTAAACATTTTGTGTGTGGTTCTGACTGCTCTGAAGTTACAGAAACATCTGACATAATGGGTTTTTGTATCCTTATGTAGCTACTCAAACACAGATTAGATCCGTTTAAGATCTTTTTAAAAGGACTTTCAGTTGTCTACTTAATAAAGGGTTAGGAGCCAATCCTTCATCCTCTGCACACAAGTAGTTCTGATTCACAGTGAGTTCTGAATTCAGTAAAACTCCTATTGAAGTTGTCTGGACTGCTCACATGAGAAAAGGTTGTAGGCTCAGCAACTTAAAAACATCTGCACTCGTTTTCCTCAGATCAAAGACTTTACGGAGATTTTATTTTAGGGAGCTCTCTGATCATATTCCCTCAACAGAAAGTTAATCCCATGGATACTGAATTTGTATTTTATGTATTTATTTACAATAATAAAGTAATTAAGAAGGCTGAATCAGGAAGTAGAGTAACATAGCTGGGAGAGGGAGCAGAGGGAACTGGGGCCAGGTCACATCTCTTCCTTCTATTGCCAGCAGCAAGTGCAGGGGGGAACCCAACTCCTGCTGCCAACACCAGTCCCTGCTCCCCACCACCCACTAGACTCCCAGGCCACGTTGGCTTGGGGGAGAGGGTTTGGGGGGAGGAAGAGTTGAACTAGGAGCAGGGAGGAGCAGAGCAGGGGCAGGGGCTTGAAGGAAGGGGTGGAATGAGAGTGGAACAAGATGAAAAGAGGCAGGAGCTAGGATACAGTGGGGGCATGAAGAGGTGGAGCCCTTGGGCTAAATGTGGTGTGGGAAGGCATCATAGGGGAGGGAATCACATGATCAGTGACCCCCTTATGTTTCTCCCCAGCAGTTGCACATGATACAACTTTTCTAGTAGGTAAAGACTCTAACTAAGCAGTCAAGGATAAGAGGGAAAGTGTTCTCATGTAAATGGTAAAGAGACAGAAAACAAAGGATAGGAATACATAGTCATTTTTCTTAACAGAGAGATGTAAATAGTGGTGTCCCTCTAGGGCCTGTTCTGATCGATATATTCATACATGATCTGGAAAAAAGAGGTAAATAGCAAGGTGGCAAAATGTGCATATGGTAGAAAGTTACTGAAGATAGTTAACTCCAAAGGAGACTGTGAAAAGTCACAAAGGGATCTTACAAAACTGGGTGACTGGGCTGACAGATGAAATTCTATGTTTATCAATTCAAAATAATGCAGACTGGAAAACACAATCCCAACTATACAAAATGATGAGGCTTAAATTAACTGTTCCCACTCAAAAACAAAGAGAGTGGAGTCATTGTGGGTAGTTCTCTGAAAACATCTGCTCAATGTGCAGCCGCAGTCTAAAAAGCTGACAATATTAGAAATAAATTGGGAAGAGGGATAGATAATAAGATAGTGACTATCATAATGCCACTATATAAAATTCATGGTATGCCCACACTTTGAATACTGCATGCAATTCTGGTGGCCCCATCTCAAAAGAGATACATTAACATTGGGAAAGCTACAGAAAAGGGAAACAAAAATGATTGGGGTGAGGAATAGCTTTTATATGAGAAGAGACTGAAAAACCTTGAACTATTCAGCTTGGAAAAAAGATGATTTCGGGGGATATGATAGAGGTCTATAAAATTATTACTTGTGTGAAGAAAGTGAATAAGGAAGTGTTATTTACTCCTTCACATAACACATGAACCGGGAATTACCCCATGAAATTAACAGGCAGCAGATTTAAAACAAATAAAAGGAAGTATTTCTACTGAAGGGCCAACATGTGGAACTCAATGCAGGGAATGTAAAAGTCAAAACTATACTATAAGGTTAGCCTATAAGGTGCCACAAAACTATACTGCAGTTCAAAAAAGGAACTAGGTAAGTTCCTGGAGAATAGGTCCATCAACAGCTATTAGTCAAGATGGTCAGGGATGCAACCCTATGCTCTGATTACCAGAAGCTATTATAGGATTAGAGGGATGGATCACTCGATGGTTACCTGTTCTGTTCATTCCCTCTGAAGCACCTGCTATTGGCCACTGTTGGAAGACAAGATACTAGGCTAGATGGCCATTGTTCTGAACCAGTAAGGCCATTTTTATGTTCTTAACTAATTCCAATTAGAAAAGCAGTACAGGCAGTCCCCGGGTTACGTACAAGATAGGGACTGTAGGTTTGTTCTTAAGTTGAATTTGTATGTAAGTCGGAACTGGTACATATTGTAGGGGAAACTCTAGCCAAACATTTCTCCAGAGCTCAGTTTTATTCTCCCACACCTCACTTCCCTCAGCCCTTTATTCTCAAGCTGAAGTGTCTGCTGAGAAAAGCCGCTCCACGTCTCCCAAGTCTGCTGGGGGGGAGGGGTGCTAGCTTCACGTCTCCCTGGTCTGCTGGGGGCGGCACTAGCTTCGCGTCTCCCTGGTCTGCTGGGGGGGAGCAGCTAGTGCGGGGTTGCCTCACCCCGTTTGTAAGTAGGGATCCGATGTAAGTCGGATCCATGTAACCCGGGGACTGCTTGTATGTCGAGGGGGGGAGGGGTCTAGTTAACAATATCCCTTTAACTATTGCCTTTAGTTCTGAATCCTACAGCCTAAAATATCAACTTCTCTCACCAAAAATATTTTCTCCATAAACAGAAACTTGGTATGTACAGCATGTTTTTGTCTTCCTTCTCTACCTATCCTGTTTAGAATTTGCCTAAAAATATTCACATGACTAAGCACTGATGTGTTCCTTAATTGGACTGAAAAAAGTATGAACATTCAGTACTTTGTAACAAACTTCCGTGGAAACCATTTCATATTTAGCTAGATGCCATTCTGTATACAAAAGCCATTTCAGTTTCTTATGTCTGCACATATACTAGAGGGAGCGAACTGACCTTCAGTGATGTAAGAAAAGGCCAGAAGGATGGGCTGCTGGAAAGTGTTAATGAACTATTTTAAGCTGAAGCCCTTACTCCCTAAAACTTGTTTCTTTTTTTGCTGATAATAATTCCTCTTTGAAGTTAACTTTGATTTCTTTGCCTGAATTATTGAAAGAAGCTGCAAGAAAAAAAAAGGAGTCATTTTTAAAGCAGGTTTTCCTCCTTACACATTACAATATTGCTTAATTTCTTTCCTCAGAATTTGAAAGAACACTTTCCTTAAGCTGTTAAATGTATTCTAAACTCGGAGTTTTGCTTTGGATCGAGCAAGTTTGTTACAGGAGCCCATGTTTTCAAAAGCGAAGAGCTAATCCCTTTTAGTTATCTTTTATATTTCCTCTCTATTTGTGTATGCATCATAAAGAGGGGTAGAGGGGTGATATTGTGCCAAATCCCCCCCCCAAGCTTGGGAGAGGCGGCACAGTTGATACAGACGTGCCAACTGAGGACTCCTTTTCTCTCACTTCTTGTGCATTCTTTTCCCCTTTTCCAATTTGTAAAATTCTTACAGGTCCTTGGACCATTATGCACGTACATGTAGTACGCAGGGGTGCCTTTCGGCAGTGTGGGAGGTATGCTTAGACTAACCCCCACCTAAACTAACTCTACACACTCCAAAGAAAGGATCTGCCGGGTCTAGACTGTCAGACAGTAGCAGCTCATGAAATAAGGGGAGTCATCACTCCCTCACATATCCGCTGAGTCTCGAGGTTCGGCTGACTCCCCCCCCCTTTGCATTCAGAACCCCCTCGTGGAGAGCCCTGGTGCAGCTGGGATCAGTTTAAGTCTCAGACCTATGCAGCGGTATTCATACTTCACTCATTACATTTATACTCATTTTCCACACAATTTTTTTTCTCTTTTTTTCCCCCACATTTCCCCCCCCCACAGTTTCCACATTTAGATGCATCTTTCTTTATTGTCCAATTCCCATGGGTTTCTGTTAAATGGCGCTGCCCTAAGACACCCAGCACTTAATATCAGACTTCATTAAGATCCTATACCAGGGAAAACCAGGGCACTGGAATTCCTGTAGACTGACCTACCCCCATTTTCTGCACGCTTTGAAACACTCATTACATTCATACTCATTTTCCACACACATTTTTTTCTACAGTTTTTTTTCTACATTTAGATGCATCTCTCTTTATTGTCCAATTCCCATGGGTTTCTGTTAAGTGGCGCTGCCCTAAGACACCCAGCACTTAATATCAGACTTCATTAAGATCCTATACCAGGGAAAACCAGGGCACTGGAATTCCTGTAGACTGACCTACCCCCATTTTCTGCACGCTTTGAAAGACTCTGTGAGGCACCAAACCAAGAGTTCGCCTGCTCACACTATTTTCTTCTGCGGGTCACTGAACCAAAATTCGCCTGCTCACAAGATTCCTCCCCCCCGTGCCCCCGCCCTTTGGTTGCGAGGCACTGAACCCAAAGTCCACCTGGCTCGCAGGGGTTTCCAGCACCCGCCCCAGCCTGGCAGGACACCTCTTCCTGGCGTCCAGAGACAGCCTGGCGGAATGTGGAAATACTATGGCCTGGGATTAGCCTTAAAGGTTAGTACTACGTCCACAAGTAACAGAGAGAGACAACAAAGCTTTCCCACAGTTCCGTGTGCCAAGAGAGTGTAATGGCACCACACCAGCTTTCAGCATCTGAACACAGAGGGTCCAGCGCATGGCTGCCTCACTAGAGACACCGGTGTGCCCTTTTGGAACTGTGACACATAAGACAGGCCTACAAAACACAGACAGACAAAATGTTAGCCACTCCACAGAATTGGATTCCGTAGCTCCCCTTATCCTGAGGGCTGGCCGTCACTCCAAATCCCAAGCCCTCACCAGGAGATTTCGTAACAGGTATCCCTCTTACCTTCTACTGAGCGCTCTGAGAGGCTTGGAAGTGGAGTGCTGGTCCATCTGCAGTGGCAAGTGGCACGTTAGGAATCTCGGTGGAACCTCCAAATTGTTGAAGCAAATGCTCCCCTCTGTTTTGGTGGCTAACAATCAGCTTTATTGATCAATAAGGCAAGAGTGAGCCAAACGTGATCCCAGCAGAGCCGGGCCCAGTAAGGCTGTTCAACACAATCAATCCTAGTATTTTATACCCTTTACCAAACAAGTCTGACGTCAGGGCAAGAAATCAAAGCAAACTTCAAAGAGGAATTATTATCAGCAAAGAAAGAAACAGGTTTTAGGGAGTAAGGGCTTCAGCTTAAAATAGTTCATTAACACATTCCAACAGCCCATCCTTCTGGCCTTTTTTTACATCGCTGAAGGACAGTTCACTCCCTCTAGTATACGTGAAGATGCAAGAAACTGAAATGGCGTTTGTTATACAGAATGGCTTCTAGTTAAATATGAAATGGTTTCCACACTTCAGACAAGACAATTTATTCAAGTCTGAGAACATTAGACAACTGGTTACCTGTGTTTTAGACCACTTCATAATAATAGGGTGTACGATGAAAGGCATACATTTATCTAGCATCTGCAACAGCTTTGATTCATTGACACATATATCAGAGCTTTTGTCCAAACAGTAAGTCATAGTGTCATGGCTCCCTACAGAATTAAAAACAAAGGTTAAGTTAGTGCCAATCATATATTAATACCCTATTTCACAACAGAAAATCATGTTACATATGTTCACCTATGTTTCCAACTCCCACCCAACCCCTGAAACATAACTATGTATTGGCAAAAGGCATAGATGTCTTCATTGCAAAATAGATGTGCTTTTTACAGCAAGGTAGCTAATTCAAGATTTACAGCTCAATGTAAAATCCTAATGGAAAAAAGATAGTCACTTTTTTCCTCGATGTAGCTAGTAAAGGCCAATCCTATACCCCTCACCTGGTTCATCTCAATGTAGCTACCTTAACGTAAAAGCAACAAGACCTTGTCTCCAGTAGGAGAGACGCAGCGGGGGGGGAGGGGTGGAGATGGGAGTGGAGAGAGTAGGCAGCATCCTGGAGACTGCGGGAGGTGAGGAGGACTGGGGTACTCAAAGGATATGGTGCTTAAATGATTTGACAACAACATCAGTATGTTGAGGACAAAGTTAATATTTACCTGGAAGAGATAAGTTATAGAGAGGAACATCCCAGAGAGTTTCTGGCAGCTGTGACATCCAATGACCATTTTCATAGCATAGATTAATGAACCTTTCTGAAGTGGCTTCCATTAGTTGCAACAAGTAGTGGTTTCACACAGGATGTTCTGAAAAGAGTTGAAGTATTTTTGTATATTTTAAATAGGACGAGTGATCTGTGCTCCAACTGCATAGCTCACATTTGGTCTGCCTGATGAAGTGTGGTACTAGGACCTGATGTTGAGCATGCTGAAGTTAGTGGAAAGGTTCCCATTAACTTCAGTGAGCTTTGGCCAAGACCCCTATACTCTGGAAAAGGAACCAATTTATTACTAAGCTGGTGGAAATGGCTTAATGGTGTCCAAAGTTTAAGTCTGACACCATTATCCTCCTTGGAACCACGTGTTCGCAACCCAGCAGGATCACCTCAGACTTTCTTAATGAGGTAAATAATCCAAGCACCATGCAGTTTACTTTCGGGCAAGGACAAAAGCTTGATATATTAGTCAAAGATCCCACAGCACTATCCTTACACACATTACTTTCCCTTTCACTATTGTTCTGTACTGTATCAATCAGTTGGCTGATCCTTTCCTCCCAGCAGACCTGCATTTCAGTGGTGCTGTGTACAGTGTTTATACTGAGGAATCAGCAGTGCTGTGCAAGCTTAAAATAATATTTTTAAATGCTACACATCTGCAAGAAATTGGGTAGTCTTCCTTCCTCTCTTCTATACAGTCAATGGGAGCTGCTGGATGTGCAGTACTTCTGAATATGAGGCCATTTACTTAGGTACCTCATATTACTTTACTTGTAATGATTTGAGGCCTAACTTTAGGCACCCATATTTGAAACTTTTTTTGGACTTCAAACTTCTTCCTAGGGGTTTCCCAGGCCACTTTTTCCCCACACACTAGCAACCCCACAGAGTTGGAGCACAGCCTCTGAAACTGAGGCCAGTCTCTTAGCTTTGTAAAGTAATGAAATATGCCTGTGTAATTACGTTCAAGTTTTTCAGGATAATACTTTAACAGTCAGTGCTCCTTCCTCTCATGTGGTTAGAACTCTGAGAAGCAGATCCTCAGCTGGCAGAAATTGTAAAGAGTTCCACTGAAATTAACAAAGCTATGAAAATGCATATGAGCTAATGATCTACTACTTAGAGTGTGTCATTTAGAAAGAGATCCTGCCTTGGTTAAAGAATGGAAAGCAATGGAGAATCCATCACACCCTGATATGTTGTTCTAATGGTTATTAGCTACCTGATAAAAACATGTGCCTTCTTTTCAGTCTAACAGTAGACTCGCTAGGTGTGGTCACTACCTAGAACTTTGTGGATGTTACTATAATACAGATAATTATTAAACCCAGTCACTAAATGGTATACAATTGTACAGACATACTGCACAATTTCATTAATATTGCAATATCTGTATTAAACATCTGTCCAAAGTCACAATAAATAATGCAAAAACATAATACAGAGTATTATCGTTTTAACTCATTGCTCATTCTAAAATCAGTAGGCCAAAAAAGAGGGTGTGACATTTTACTGGTATAGGAAAGTTTACATTGGAAGTGTATATTATATGCTCAGACCTATGAAACTCCGGATGAAACAATCAAGTGATCTTAGAAACACATTAATACTGCAGTGACTGGGGAACATTTTTACATTTTTTTCTATCATGCTGGGGGAATCGAGGAGGGGGTGTAGGTAAATTAAAAATGCGGGAGGCGTAACCTCCCAAATCCCAGCCCTCTGCTAGCCCCACATCAACCGCACCATGAACCAGACCTTCTGTGCATATCAGAAATGCAGATTTATTGATCTTGCTAGTGAAGTTCAGGATAAAAGACTTTATATACAGCAAAAGCTCAGTGAAAAGGATATCCACGCCAAAGCATCCACATTTAGAAACACTATAATATCTCACAGATTGCTTTTAAATGAAGTATTCAAAGGAGTCCAGGTCTTTGATTTAGTTACACTATGCTTTTGTACTCAAAGAGGAAAGGTTCGTTTTAGTTTTACTTACTCTTATAAAATCATTCCGTTTTCATTTCAGCTGTTCTTCAAAAACATTTTCACTTTCGCTGATCGTCGTCTTACCCTGTTAAAAGACTGAACTGAATCTCACTAGCTACAGCAGGAAATCAATGCAAACAAGCACAGCGTGCTATCTGCCATGGGATTGGTCAAAATCTGCAGCAGGCATTCTCAGATCAGGTACCGCCCAGATTTGTGAGAGAAGGAAGAACATAAATTCTCCTGCTAATGAAGCTGCCTAATATGTAAGAAGGAGACACTTATTTAGCTAAAGCTGTATTACTTCATGATAAATGTACATGCAAAGACTAAGGAAAGGAAGTCTAGTAGCACACAAAGTAATAGTATTTAGCAAAGCCTTTCCAGCATGTTAAGATGTAAGGATGAAAAGGACTGTGTAAGAGCTAATGTATATCATTATTTCTATTAATTATCACCTTTATCTTCTAACAGTTTCCATTCTCCATTTCAAGGAGAAGCACTAGGTGACCTAATTTCTCTTTGCATCTCCAATTTTTACAATTAGGATGTAGGTTATCATTTAAAGTGATAGTCCAATGCCCTAAGTGCATGGCAGCAGAGCCACTTGTGCCCAATTGTGAAACAGGAGCTACACCAATCCTATATCCTCTCCTGCACCTAACCTCCCAACTAGACCCGGCACTCCCAGCTTGCTCCCTCCACACACTGAACCCTTCATTTCTGGCCCCATCCTGGGGGCACAAAATCAACTCGCCCCAAGCTCTCAGAAGAGTTTATTCAACAAAATTGCTGCGAAATTGCCCTGTTGAAATTGTTCGAATTGGGCCCTGCACCTCCTAAAGCTGGTCCTGGCTGTCACTTCCCTTTTACATTTTCTTGCAGCTTGCTGGAAAGATTTGTTGTACATTTTCTTGCAGCTTGCTGGAAAGATCTGTTGCTGTATTGAGAGAGGGATAGCTCAGTGGTTTGAGCATTGGCCTGCTAAACCCAGGGTTATGAGTTCAATTCTTAAGGAGGCCATTTAGGGAGTTAGGGCAAAAATTTGTCAGGGGTTGGTACTTAGTCCTGCTGTGAAAGCAGGGAACTGGACTTGATGACCTTTCAAGGTCCCTTCCAATTTTAGGAAATAGGCAATCTCCATTATAAAAAACCCTGGGTGGAAGCCCTGAGCATCAGTAGCCTCCATCCCATGGGGCTGGAGTGTGAAGGGAACATTGGTGGGTGAGGTGCTTCTCATTTGGGGGCCACATCAGTGAGGGATTTTTATGTGGTTGGTTTGTTTTAGGTTTTTTGTTTCTTTTTTGTGCATAAACAGGAGCCACCCTGATGCACAACTGAGGCAGTCTGACTGCATTTGAATGGGATAGCTCTCCTGGTTCCCACTCCCCAAGTCCTTTCTCCCCTAGATTCTTTGCTCCCAGAAGAGCGGCGCAGACAGTGGTATAACTACTTATCTCATTCTGGGGCTTACCAAACCTACCCTGCCTGTCCAGGATATTGGAGTCTGCTGTCTGCTTGTAGGCACAGGGGAGATCAACTGCACTCAGAGCTCAAAATAAGCTATGCAATTTGAGCTATGGAGATTGCATAGCTTATTTCAAGTTAGTTGAAATTTGGTGCTGTCTACACAGCACTTACTTTGAAATAAATTGCTATTCCAATATGACACAGCACTTACTTTGAAATAAATTGCTATTCTGATATGTCCTTTATTCTTCGTGGAATGAGGTTTAGAGGGACGTCAAAATAGTGAGATGGCAAAATAGCACTCCCATTATTTCAAAATAATGGGTAGCTTGTGTTGATACCGCCGGTATCCCAAAATAGCAGTGCAGTGTAGATGTACCCTGAGAGAGACAGAGAGAAACTGAGTTGGCTGCTGGGGAAGTCTCAGAAACAGTGCCCTGTCTCTTTAAGAAAGGCAGTCAGTCACACTTATTTGGAGTAGAATAAAAGAGTTTGGACCCCAATCCTCCTGAGAGAGATCTTCCTGTGTCCCTCTCCCCTGCTCTACATAGATGGGAACAGGTGCAGGAGAACACCCTGAAATCAGGACCCCTTCCACCTGCTCTGCACAGCTAGTAGAAGGATATGAAGGGGCACTGAGCTGCAGTAGGATGGAGAAATGTCGGGGAGGTGGGGAGAGGCACCTGCTGCCTTTGCTACTCAGCCAAGAGGCATGTGAATCTCTCCTGCACAGCAGAGCCCTTTGAAATCACTCAGGCCCCTGGGCACGTGTCCCCCCTGCACTCCCCACTCCCTCCCATCCCGCTCCAATGGCAGGCTTGATGGGTGAGCAGAGGGTTATAAAGTCAGAGACACAAGATGATGCAGAGTCCATGGAGAGTTTTAAATATCAGGAAACAAAGTTAAATTTGAGTCAGCAACTTCCTAGGAAGGCAAGGTGATGGAGGAGGGGTGAGAAGAGAGTTTTCTGACTCTCAGAAACTTACTGTGATGATTGCATTAAAAATAGAGAGGTTCCTTCATGCTAAAGCAAATCTGGCCACAGCAGTATGGACACTTTCAAATTTAATTCTCTTCTCTAGAATGACACTGGTGATTTCAGTGGAGTTACTCTTATTTAAATTGCTCTGACTGAGATCACCAAGTGGCCCTATGATTTAGCAGGACCATAAAAAGAAGCAATAACAGGGAAAAAAATGAGCAAGCGATTAAACTATGAATAAGTATTTCAACACAGTAAAGGTCAAAGTAAGGATGAATTCTGGTCATACTTTAGAGATAACAATAAGCAGATTTACTGATAAGGAATCTGTGGGAGAAAAAAGTCCAGGATGTCTTCAAAATTTCTGGCTTTGGTTGCAAAAAATGTCTTTGTTAAAAAAGATTAATAGTGAAATTAGAAATACTGGACAATCAGGAACTGAGGAGAAGTTGCTGAGTTTTTGAAGCATTCGGGAACAGGAAGTTATAGAGTTGGGTAAATAAAGTCAGGGAGCTATCTGGAAATTAATGTGTGAGCTGATGGCCACATGGATGATTTATGTCTGTATCTGAGTGAAATGTTTGTTTTGTTAGTTATGTAGGCAAACTTCATAGTTAAAGCTGATGAATTTTGCATTTAGAGCAGGGATTCAAACATTTGATTGTGTGTGAAGAATACACTTCCTTTTCCTCTGCATTGCAGCACTTACTCTTAGAATTCGGAATGGATTTTCCAAAAATATGCAAGTAAATCTGAGTTAAAAGCCATTAAAAGTGGGTTCCTTAATACATTACACTGCTGTGTGAGACTTTTGTCCTGAACGATCTCATCTAGGTACTGTCTAGCTAAGTGAAAGTGGCAAAGAAGCAACTCTTTTAAAGGTGTGGTGCAATTGATAGTTAAAAAAAAAGTTTAGGATTGATGGTCCTTTCTTCCTTGCTATAAAGCTGGGGTTTTCAAACTTTTATTCTCATGTCCCAGTGGAAGAAATGTGTTGATGCCTATGACCCAACATAATTTGACTTGAGTGTGGGCTCTGGGGTGGGGCTGAGGATGAAAACTTTGGAGTATAGGAGAGGGCTCTGGTTTGGGAAGGGTGTTGCATAAATTGCTGGTTTCGTCCCCTTGGAGGCTAGTCTGATTTACCCCAAGAAGAGAGTCACACTTTCAGGCTGGGTCCAACTCAAGTTTATTGGTTGCAACCAAGGTACGGCTAAGGAACTCAATGTTCAAAGCAGAGCCGACCCCCAGCTTCGGTAAGCAAGGGGTCTTATAGGGTTAACATCCTTCCTGGTTTAGGTGCCTTAACATGATAGGTTACTTCATTTTTGACATTTAGCATTCTTATAGGTCAGGTTAATTTTCCAAATAAGGTTAAATACAGTGCCTACTTGCTGACTTTGCGGTTACAGCTGTGTTACATTTATTCACTTTTGCTGAACAATGGGCGAGCCATACTTCCCTTTTTTCTTTCCTGCTTGAGCCTGCCACAAGTTTAAAGCATGCGGAATATATCCATATCTCTACTTAACAGAAGACTGGTTTCACTTCCCATCGTCTCCTTATTAGGTGTTATTACTTGCGACAGGCCTTGACCTTTGTCATGTCTTACTCCTATACAAATAGCAAATATATCTAAGCATTAGCAATGTATGTATATTGTACGTGCCCCTCATAGGGGAATCAATGGCTCCGGGGGATTTGACTTCCCTTTTACACATCAAGGGGGGGGGTCAAGGCTGAAGCAGGGGGGGCTTACTTTGAGTGGCAGGCTTCCAGGTTCTCCTGGCACCACAGACCATGATGTGCCCTAGAAGCAGCCAGAAGTAGCAGGTTCCCAGCCAATGGGAATGCAGAGCTAGTGCTCAGGGCAGGGGCAGGGCACAAAGCCTTCTCCCCTTAAGACAGGGTTTCCCAACCTATGGGTCGGGATCCAAATCTAGGTCTCCATTACATTTCAAAAGGGTCACCAAGTGTCTCCCCAGGTGGCTTTGCCCTTTCTCATCCCCCCGTTTTTGAATTGCCTTGGATCACCAAGTCTTCCTGAATTGTCAAAATGGGTCTCCATCTGGAAAAGGTTGGGAACTGCTTCCTTAGAGGCTGATCCTGTTGCTGGCTCCTTCTGCGGCAGTAGCACAGTCTGCAGTGCCAGGATAGGTTAGTAGCCTGCCTTCACACCCCCACTGGTCACCTGATCCCCCTGCAGCAATGAGACCCAGTGCCTGACATTCCAAGACCCAGATCTGGGTTGCAACCTGTAGTTTGAAAACCACTGCTATGGAGTGTAGAAATGCAATGTTAAGGCATCCAAACAGAAATAACAGTGAATTTCTGGGGTTTACAATGCTTGTTTCAGGTATATATGACACTCCATGCCTGAAAGGAGCACCCTAGCACTGCCATGTTCACCACTGTCGTATAGTTATGATATGTTTCATGCAAAGTATGTCTTGTGCAATATTAATCTGATAGTGGCTTGGTCACTAATTTCCTGTTGGACTGTATGTGCTATCATTATATGAGAAGTTAATGTTTTGCTATGTGAGTGTTACTGAAATCTGTTGTAAGGGTGGGTGATGCTCACAGCCAACCTTTCAGTTACAACAACAGACCAGCCAGACTTACTGATGGCTCATTAAAAGGACTCTACACTCACAAGGGCCATTCCAGAAACTCCTCTGAGAGAGCATGGATAGACTGTAGACTGCTTGACCAATGGAGACTGCCTGATTCCCGTGTCACAGCAAAAGATCTTTCCAGCAAGCTGCAAGAAAATATAAAAGGGAAGTGACAGCCAGGACCGGCTTTAGGAGGTGCAGGGCCCAATCTGAACAATTTCGACAGGGCCCCGCAGCAATTCTGATGGAGCAAAAGAAAAAACGCACACAAAAGTTGCAACAGCAGGAGGGGCGGGCCAGAAATGTTTTTGGTTGAACAAAAAAAAAAAAAAACCAACGGCACACAAAAAATCCCTAGCTACCTCCCCCACAAAGCCCCAGTAGCTAACACACTCCCACCCCCATCTCTCCATGGTGCAGGGAAACCCTGCACTCAACTCACACCTCCTGCGGTACGGGCAACCGCTCACTCCTCCTCCGAGGCCGACGTCCCCTCCCGCAGCGTACCTGGCATACTTCCGGGTTCAAGCCGCGGGGGTCCTTTCAGCGCGGGGCCCAATTCGGGGGAATTGGACGAATCAGCCTAAGGCCAGCTCTGGTGACAGCATCACTTGATCTTTCTTTCACCCCCATCCCCACCCAGCTCAACATCTGAAAGAAATGTCTGAAGGGCAAAGACTTTGAGCTAGAGAAGGATGGTCCTGGGCTGGAAGGCAATTCCAGTCTGCGTAATGAGGATGCGACACCTGTTTGTACCATCTGTCAGGGTGAGACATGGGCTTGATTCAAACCCTGCTCAGTTTCTAGATCTTAGACGGCACATTTCTTTTTATTTCTTAAATAACCAACTGATCTCTGTGCTTGCTACTTATAATCACTTAAAGTATTTATTTTCTGTAATTACTAAGCCTGTTTTATATTTTACCCTAAATGGTGTGTTTTCTTGAAAGTGCTTAGGAAATCTCAGCTCACTTTACAAAGGTACTCTGTGTCTTCTCCACATAGAGCATATGGCATTCTTAATGAGCCTACACTGATCAGGCTTCTGACCAGGGTAAGACTGGGGAGCTGAGGAGAACTGGCTGGAGTCTCCCTACTCATAGTTCATGAGTGGCAGGGAGACGTTTCATGTAACTCAGAAGAGTGTATCTGTGCCTGTGAATGGCTGTGCAACTGCAGTGCCTGTGACAGAATTGTAATTTAACAATAGCATAACAGTGTGAGAGGAATATCCCACGTTGGTGGGACAGAGGACTCAGTGGTCCCACAATCTAATTTGCACCTAGTAGGTATCACAGTGGTGCAGTGATCAGGGTGAAATGCACAGCTGGTTGTTCTGAGTGAGATTTGCACTTAAAACACTGGTGTAGAGACCTAAAGGCTGTGTCTACACTGGGCCACTTATTCCGGAAAAGCAGCCACTTTTCCGGAATAACTTGCCAGCTGTCTACACTGGCCGCTTGCTTTTCTGGAAAAGCAATGACGATCTACTGTAAAATTGTCAGTGTTTTTCCGGAAAAACTATGCTGCTCCCGTTCGGGCAAAAGTCCTTTTCCGGAAAAACTATTCCGGAAAAGGGCCAGTGCAGACAGCACAGTAGTCTTTTCCGCAAAAAAGCCCCAATCGCGAAAATGACGATCGGGGCTTTTTTCCGGAAAAGCGCATCTACATTGGCCGCGGACGCTTTTCCGGAAAAAGTGCTTTTCCGGAAAAGCATCCTGCCAATGTAGACGTGCTTTTTCCGGAAATACTTATAACGGAAAACTGTTCCGTTTTAAGCATTTCCGGAAAAGGGTACCAGTGTAGACGTAGCCAAAGTGTAGTGGTGGAAAACAGTCAAAGAGAAAGTTACCAGTTTGTGATTTTCTGATCACTTATTTCTGGAAAAGGAAGTATAAATAGAAAAAGCAGAAGGTGGGCGATAATGATGCAGTTGCAAAACTAGAGATGTGCCAACATCAGACTGCAGAAGAAGAAAAACAACATCAACTAATTTTGGAGTTAAAAGAACTGGCAATAAAAGAAAGAGAAAGCTGCAGGTTAACACATCAGCAATTCCTAGAACTGCAAGCCTACACAGCTGAGACCCAGAAGCAAGTACATTAGTAGGCCCTAAAACTGAAAGCAGAAGGCTATTGACTTGAGCACAATAGAACTAACTAGATATGGCAGACAAGCAGAACCACACTTACCCTCCCACTTCCCCACATCACTGATTCCCACGACTCCAAAACCAACAAATGGGAAAAATTGTGTCCTGCATACAAAAAACAGATGATATTGCAAGATAGTTTACTACCTTTGAGAGAATGCATATGATTCATAAGATTCCTGATGACAAAGAATATCCCCACTTTGGCTGCAAAGCTAAAGTTCTGAATATATTCAATGTGCTGCCAATTCAGGATTCTTTGAATTACTGTAAATTCAGAGAAACAATTTTGAAACTTTTTCAGATTACCCCTGAAACAAATAGATAGTAATGGAGAAATCTTAAGAGGGGTGCTGGTGTGAGTAATGGGGAATATGTGGACAAGATGAAAGATTTGATGGAAAAATGAATGAGGGGAAAAGGGGGTTTTGTGCAAAAAGAAAATGTCCACACTGATTGTTTTTGTATATTTTTTTTGCCGAGAAAACTCGTAGTGTAGAGATAGCCTAGGAGTATAAACCTGGTGGGAAACAGTGATCCCATTTTATCCATGGGAAAAAGGTGGGTGGCTTGGAGGCTGGGCACTCTCCTCCACAAAATGTTCCCCCTAATCCTCATCCAAAATCTCCCATAAAAATAGGAGAACCCAAAACGCATTATCAATGTAATTTCACTGATCACCTGAGAAATAAATGGCCTATTCTGGGTGGAAGCAGGAAGCAAATAGCCCATGTTAATTCTGCTCTCCTAAGCACAAAAAGCCCTCAAGTGCCTGTCATACTGGTTTTGAGAGATTAGCCTCTTGTAGAATTAGATTGCAGATAATACAGTAGGGTTATCAGGGTTAATGGCAGGGACTGCTTAGGATGGAAAGACGCAGGGCTCCAATTTCTCTGGTTAAGCAGAGTGTGGCCCCAGATGCCAACATATTACCAGCTCAAATTACTGATATTTTAGATGAGGTGGGGGGATAAAACCAGATTCCTGATACCAGCTAGAATTCATGTGCTGTGGGAAGATTTGGAGAGTGTTTTGACTGCTGGAGTGATAGGGCCCCTCTTGGTGGACATGTTTCTTGAAAATGATTTTTTCAAGGCATAGCTCAGATTGTTAAGGTGCTTGCCCACAGGAAGAAGGAATATTCCCCTAGAACTCCTGAGGAAAAAGGTAATGTGCTGAAGGAATGAGATTCCGATTTTTCTGCAGCAAGGGGAAGCATGTTTCTAAGTGTGGAGGAGGTTGAGACTGGCTCCTGCACTGCACCTGAAGGCTGTATCACCTCAGGAAGGGAGGGAGGTGTAGCACTGATCACTGAGAAAGCTAACACGGCTACCCCTCTGAGATTTCTGGAGGGGAGCAATCTGAGGCTGTGTCTAGATCTAGACTACATCCCTCTTTTGACAGAGGGATGTAAATTAGACACTTCGAAATTGCAAATGAAGCTGGGATTTGAATTTCCTGCGCTTCATTTGCATAATCGTGTCATGGTGCTCCTTTAAAAAAGTGCTATTTCAAAAGAAGTTTACAGGATGTTTCAAAAAAGGCTTCTATTTTCGAAAGAACCGCGTCTAGACTGAGGTTTCACTTTCAAAATAGCGCTTTTTCGAAAAAGCGCCTTTTATGCAAATGAAGCGTGGGAAATTCAAATCCCAGCTTCATTTGCAATTTCTTCATTTGCAATTAGAAGTATCTAATTTACATCCCTCTGTCAAAAGAGGGATGTAGTCTGGACACACCCAAACAGATGACTTCTCAGGGACAGAGCAAGGGTCCCCAAACCAAGTCCCATTTTGACAAGACACCAGTACTGATATGTGTATGGAAATTAACTATGACTTTTTATGGCAGGATGCAAAATATAGTGAAGATATAGTTGTCTGTGAAAATACAAATGACCCAGCTGACAGAGGGAAGGAGGACTTTTCTCTCGCTGGTAAAATACAGAATGCAGCCAGGGGAGAGCAGCTGTGAAAAGGTGCGTCTGACCCAAGAATAGACGCTTTTAGCCCAGCAAGCACAAAACATAGTCCTCTAGGACAGTGGTCCCCAACACAGTGCCCGTGGGCGCATTTGTTTGCGCCCGCCAAGTGCTCGGGGCTGGCTTGGCCCCGGGCACGTGGCGCATGCATGGTGCCAGAGCCGGCCCTGGGCGCACGGTGAGCGCCGGCCCTGGGAGCACCACGGATTGGCCGCCAGTGCTCTGGGCGCGCAGCGCTTGGGGGAGGGGAGCGCTGGCCCTGGGCGCGCGGCGCTTGGGGGGGAACGCCGGCCCCAGGCGCTTGGGGGGGCCTCCACCCTCGCGGCTATGGGGGGGGCCCGCCCCCATAAATGTCCCCGCCCTCTGGCGCAAGGCTCCAGGACTGGGGATGGGGATCACAAGGTCTCCAATTGGAGAGAGGGATTTTTTTTTTCTTACATGGGCATAAGCTTGGGATTGTGAGACAGCTCCACAGAGGGCTAGCCAATGTCCTCTTAGATCCTTACCTCACCAGACCCCGGAGGGAAAGAAAAATCTGTCACTGAACACAGTCTGAGCTTCAGGCAGGAGCGGAAAGAAAAAACACGAGTCTTGAACAAACCAGACTGTCTCAGAGAAGTTAACTGAAACGTGCTCTCAGCCTTAACTCCCGCTGAACACAGTTCCTTTGTGGAAAAACATTTGGCTTGGTATTTCACGGGGGAAGCAGCAACTGTCAGATGCCAACAGTGCCACCTGCGATGCGTTAAGAGGAAGGAGACGTTCTGTGGCAGTTGGGAGGGCAATTAGTGGAGCGTGCCTGGGAGGGGGGGGGAGGGGCGCATGGAGACTAACTGGAGGTGGTTGCTGGACTATTCTTTCGGACCCATTAAGGACTAGAGCTCATTGGGCCTGGCAGTTGAAGCACTGTATCTAATTTCCATATACAGAAAGAAAATTAAAGAAATATTTGACCCATTGAGCTCTAATACTAACACAACAGTCGAAGCAATGTTAGCACTATCTAGATTACTTTTTACCATTATGACTAGCAGGTCTAGCTAATCTTTACTTACCTGGTCTTTTTTTTTTTTTAATGGAATAGTATTTTCTGTACCACAGCAGTATGACTGGATCCTGACTCTAGGAGAGTTGACTGGTGTGTCATTGTGGAAGAGAGAGTAATAAGGTCTTCTCCTGGATGGAGCATGTAGAAAGCCATCTGATGTCAAGAAGGTTCAAGAGAATCCTTTGGGTTGCTATTATTTGTATTACAGTATTCCAACTGCCAGAATTTTCCTGGGTTCATTTTACCAGCCCTATTCTCCTGGGATGTGATTCACAATTTATGGACTTCTGTGAGCTCTTGGCTAATGCTACCCTATTGCAGTGCCTGGGAAAAACCATCAAAATTCTTTCACAACAAATAAGACCTGTGGAGAGCAAGACATGGTTTCATCCAGTAATCATTGGCTTTGAACGAATGTAATACAGTGAGTATTGATTATTGTACCATCGTGCTTTGATTTTTGAGAGAGAGCGCTTTGAAATAGCGCTTGACAAAAAAGGCCAATCAGCTTCATTGCTACACAACTCACATAATTTTACATCATACTTTGAACATCACTTCAATATCTGTGCACGTGTAATGAATTATTACAACATGACATTTTGATGTCCATTTGGGAATGGCAAAATGATACAATAGCTTAATCAAGTGTTTGTAATTCACCCTCACCAGGGCCTGGACACAAAGCTGCCAGGCTAGTCAGCTGACTGATTTTCTTCACATGGCTAACTGAATGCGCTCTAGTTCCCCATTCCCTCCCTTGGCAATCCCAGCAATGGAAACACTTTGTTCCCTCATGCTCTGATTTTCTTCACATGGCTAACTGAATGTGCTCTAGTTCCCCATTCCCTCCTTTGGCAATCCCAGCAATGGAAACACATTGTTCCCTCATGCTGCTGTTGTACACGTGCCCTGCTCACTACAGCCGGGCTGAGGGATGAGCCTTTGCCTGTGCCTGCATGGAAAGCGAAATCCACTGCTCAGTCATCCCTGGCTTTTGATAGCCATCACTGGGTGCAGAATCCAGCAGACTCTCTCATCCAGGAGCAAAAAGGGGAAAAAAAATCTGATTCAAAGTCTTTCCAGTATGAAAGAGACCTTCTCTGATCCTATCCCCACGCCCCAAACTCTTGGTGCTAAGTTTCCCAGTTCCCCACCTTTCTTTCTGTGGTGAGTAGCAATCTGGGCCCTGGTCTACACTAGGAAGTTATTTCAAAATAACTCCCCTAAAGCATCCACAAGTGGAGCATCCATACTACCAAGCCTGTTATTTTGAAATAATGGGCAGTTTACTTTGAAATAACAACTCCCGCTTATTCATTAGGAATAATGCTTATTTCTAGCAGTCTAGAAAACATGAGCCATGAGGCAAGGCTGAAGGAACTGGGCTTGTTTAGTTTGGAAAAGAGAAGACTGAGAGGGGACATGATAGCAATTTTGAGGTATCTAAATGGGTGTCACAAGGAGGAAGGAGAAAAATTGTTCTCCTTGGCCTCTGATGATAGGACAAGAAGTCATGGGCTCAAACTGCAGCAAGGGAGGTTTAGGTTGGACATTAGGAAAAACTTCTTAACTGTCAGGCTGGTTAAACACTAAAATAAACTGCCCGGGGTGGGGGTGGGGGGTTTGGTTGTGGAATCGCCATCACTGGAGATATTTAAGAGCAGGTTAGATAAACATTTATCAGGGATGATTTAGATCAGAGTTGGGAAAAAGCCACTCAGTGGGCTGGATCCGGCCCACCCAGGGCTTTGATCTAGCCCACAAGGCTGTTCCAGGCCCCACCCCCTAGTGCAGTGGTCCCCAGTGCAGTGCCCACGGGCGCCATGGCGCCCGCTGGGGCATTTATGTGCGCCCTCCGAAACATCTGGGCTGGCCCCGCCCCCGGCACTCGGCACATGCATGGTGCCAGCCCCGGGTGTGTGGCGCATGGGCGGCCACTGCCCCGGGCACGCGGCACATGCGTGATGCTGGCCCTGGGCTCAGGGCACGTGGGCAGCCCCTGCCCCGGGCGCACGGCACATGCACAGTGCCAGCCCAGGGCTCACGGGTAGTCCCTGTCCCGGGTGCATGGCACATGCGCAGTGCTGGCCCCGGGCGCAGGACACATTGGTGACCCCATCCCCGGGCATGCGGCGCATGAGCGGCCCCGCCCCCGGACGCCTGGCAGCCACGAAAGGTTGGGGATCACTGCCCTAGTGTGTTGCCTGGGATTCGAAGCTGCACGAACCCTTTCAGCTGCTTCTATTTAAAGGCCTAAGACCTTCACCATGGCTGTCAGGCAGCAGCCCCAGGGAAGGTGCAAGCCCTTTAAATAGAAGGCAACCCGTGAGCAGCACAGTCAGGAGCAGTGAGCCCTTTACATAGCAGGAATTAAAAGGGTTTGCCGCTCCCATCCCCTCCTAATATGATGCCTGGGAGCCTCAGGGGAGATACGAGCCCTTTAAAAGCTGCTATTTAAAGGCTCCACCCCTTCTGCCAGAGGCAACTGCCCTTCTCCCTTTCCAGGGAGGGCCGCGACCACTTCAAAATTTTGAAGTAGCCTCCACTCAAAAATTATTGCCCATCCCGATCTAGATGGTGCTTGGTCCTGCTGTGAGAGCAGAGGACTGGACTTGATGATCTCTTGAGGTCCCTTCCAGTTCTAGTGTTCTATGATTCATTTTGAAATTGTTATTTGGAAGTTACTGTTTTCAAACTAAGTTATTTTGAAATAATTTCCTAGTGTAGGTATGCTCTGAGAGACGGACTGTGGGAATGGTTATTTATTCTTTGTATGGTACCCAGTTACCTCACAGGGACATTTCACTAAACAAGGTTCTTGTCTCAAGGATCTTACAACCTACAATTAAGTAATATAACAAGTAAGGGTGAGAAACAACTATGGAGTAGGAGCAGGTTGAACAGCATTAAATAAGATTATGGTATGACTCAGGTACTTGAAGTAGACATGTTACAACAATTATTCTTCTCTCTTCTTTATGCCTTGTGGCCGAGATAAGATTTTAGCAGGGATTTTTAATGAGGTCAGATTCTTAGGAAAGTATTCCAAGCATAGGCAGTGGCATGGAATTAAGGTACAGTGATGTTTGTGTGAGGAGACAAATGGAAAAATCTGAGTTTAGGAGAGTACAGAGACGGGGAAGTGCAATGAGAGATGTGCACAGAGGTATAGACCCTTGTAGACGAGGACAAGAACTGCAAACCTGATATACAATCTGATGAGGCTCCTTTGCAGATACCCAGGGGAATTATAAAAGAGTTAAATTAATAGAAAGAGAGAAAGATGGGAGATGAAGGAAAAGACACAAAGCAGTGGAGGGAAAGAAATGCCACATCTGCAACAGGAGCGAAGGACAAGCCTGTATCACAGGCCTGAGTAAATGTGAACACACATACATACAGCATTCCCAGGATAACTTTTGTTTCAAAAGAACATTTTCAAAACACTTTGTAACATGATCATAATTTATTTTCAGCTGCATAGAATTTGGCCTAAACTAAAAAGACAAGAGAGAAATAAAGATAAAGAAAGGAGAAAAGGGTCAGTGGAGCAAAATAACTAAAAGTGGAGAAGGGTGACTGCTAAAAATAGACCCATACTGAGAAATCAAAAGTCAGAAGAACAACCTGGTTCCAGTCAGCACTTTTGAAAGAGTGACACAAATCAGAGCATGTCTCATTACAGTTATATCATTGTACAGTAGCATGAAAATAAAAATAAAATTCTGTCTTCAGAACTACACAAGTAGGCCAGAATAGAACTGGTCATAATAATTTTTAAAAAATAGAAATGCTGAGTAAACAATAAAGAAGGCTTATGCAAGAGCATAAGAAATTTTAAAAGTCTACACATTTTGAAAAATTGTTTTCAGTTCTAAAGTAACCTCATTTATCTGCTTCTGCTAAATTCCATTTTGGTATCAGGCCGTAGATCCAAACATGGAGAAGAAAAAATTAGTTTTAAGTTTCAGAAAATGAAGGTTCAAAAGGTGCATAGAAAAATCTTCAGATAGATAGGTTTGCAATTCAATAAGCAGTTCCTGTTCAAAATTGCTCCTGCGTTGGCCAGGCATTTATTTTGTTTGCAATAAAGTATTAATATTTAAGCAATGTATGAATATTGTGGGATTCCTTTCACACCCAGGCCTGTTATCTGTTTAAAAAACAACAACAACAACAACGTCAGTCTTTAATTGATTGCTTTGGAAGCAGACATATCTCACACAATCAGAACACACACATTGTAATTTATTAGCCTTCTAACATACCTAAAAAGAACCCAGCTACAGCTCACTATAATCTGAAAAGGGAAAAGAACCAAATGACTCCACTAAGTTCATTAGGGACTGTCAATTGCAAATAGATTTTATACAAAAGGGCTGTGTCTAAACTGGCAAGTTTTTCCGCAAAAGCAAGTGCTTTTGCGCAAAAACTTGCCAGCTGTCTACACTGGCCGCTTGATTTTGCGCAAAAGCACTGACGTTCTACTGTCTGAAATCAGTGCTTCTTGCGCAAATGCTTTGACATTCCCGTTCGGGCAAAAGCCCTTTTCCGGAAATGTTTTTGCACAAGAGGGCCAGTGTCGAAAGCTAAAAACTGTTTTGTGCAAAAAAGCCCTGATGGCGAAAATGGCGATCGGGGCTTTCTTGCACAAAACTGCGTCTAGATTGGCACGGACACTTTTCCGCAAAAAGCACTTT